GCTGTGCCGCTGCACTATCTCCCAGCCCAAATCAGAGATTTCTGATGCAGTAGGTCTGGGGCAGGTGAAAACCTGGTCACATCTAACCTGTTTCCCGGGGGCCTTCGCGCTGCCCATCACAAGTAGGGTCACACTTTTGGCACCAGGGGTCCGTTGCAGATAGAGGCACATGGCTCCATCCAACAGAAATTTAAAACAAAACAAAAAACAAGCAAACAGACAAAAATCTTAAAACTGCCAGAGCTCATGGTGGGCGACCAGCCTCCAACTTTCCTGCCTTGGCTTTGAGAATGTTCACTAAGTATATTAGATATGGAGGAAGTTCTGCAACTTGCTCAACAAGAACACTAGCCCAGGATAATGCCCTCTGGGCCCGCTGCTCTGGAGCATAGAGAGTTCCTGCTAGGGCTGCCAGAATTGGCCCCTCACCACTGACTTTCTTGGCTTTCAGCTCAGAGCCCGTCTCTTGGGCTCTGGAGGACCCCCTGAGGCCCAGAAGGAATGTCCCTGTTTGCTGGAGAGCTAGACCTTTGGGGATTCAGGCAGGCAGGACTGGAGGATGCTTCTGATTCTGTCTGAGGGAATGTGATGGTCAGGCTGGGCCAGCTGCTGCTGCTGCTGCTGCTGCTGCTGCTCCTCCTCCTCCTCCTCCTGCTGCTGCTCCTCCTGCTGCTGCTGCTGCTGCTCCTCCTCCTGCTGCTCCTGCTGCTTCTGCTGCTGCTGCTCCTACTGCATGAAAGGTCCTGGGGTCTCTTGGTAGCTGGTACCTGTGTGGGGATTTTCTTGGGATATATTAGATATGAGGCAGAGAAAGCTAAATCTTTAGGAAGGCTGTGGTAGGTAAGAAAGGCCTAAAGCCCTGGCTAGGAAGAAGGACAAAGCTGTGTGTGTCCCTTAGCGGGAGACCTGCTGGGCCATGGTTTTGAGAGGCAGAAGGGAGGATTAATTTCATAAGCTCTTTAGCTAGAAGATAAAACAATAAAGGGAAAGGATTATTTGGTTGTAAAATCTATCACCATTAATAAAATCTATTACAGTCTGACTCCTTCCTTGTTTCATCTGTGTGAAGAGGCAAATGACCTAGTGTTGGGCAGTAGCCTTCTAATTATGCTTTTTTTGTTGCTGTGGATTTTGTTTGTTTGTTTTTGAGGGCATCCACTCTGTAGCCCAGGCTGGCCTCAAACTTGCAGCAATTCTCCTGCTTCAGGCTTTTTTTTTTTTTTTGGTCTTTTTGAGACAGGTCTTGCTATGCAGTTCAGGCTGGCCTTTTTTGTCTTTTTGAGACAAGGTCTTGCTATGCAGTTCAGGCTGGCCTTGAGCTCACTTTATAGCCCAGGCTGGTCTTGAACTTGCAAAGATCCTCCTGCCTCAGCCTCCTGAGCGCTGGGATTACAGGTGTGCACCACCACGCCAGGTTTATTTTTCTCTTCTTCACAGACATTCCTTCTGTCTGCCTCCTTTGTCCTTGACTTCGTTCTTCAGTTTCATGAAGAATTATGCTGTTACATTCCAACTGTGGGTGTGCGCCACTGTGGTTGGCTTCTTTTTCCTTCTTGATCTCCTGGGCCGCTCCAGAAAGAGCTCATTACTCTCCATGCCGGACCCTCCAGCAGCTCTTCTCTATGTGGTGTACATGTGTGGCATCCAGCTGTCCCCATGCGGGTTCTGGCTGTCTGGGGAGGGGCGGAGTTATCCCAGAGCTCAAAGCCTCTTCCTCAGGAAATGAGTAATTCTGAGAAGCAGGTTACAGTAAGACTGCACGCAGACTTTAGGAGAGCAGATGCGCGTGGGAGAGAACGTGGAGAGAGCTGTCAGACTGTGACGACACCTGACCCTGAGTCTTCACGGTGGGAAGCTGGAGGGAAGCGCCCTCAGCTGCTGTGAGGGTTCCCGCAGCCAAGGGCATCCATCCTGGGTCCTGTGTCTCAGAGGGACCGGCAGCCTCTCCATTTCGCTCTGTTGAGGGCTGCGCACGCTGCTTTCATTTATTTATATATTTATTTGTCTTTTGGAGACAGGGACTCGCTATGCAGTTCAGGCTGGCCTTGAGCTCACTTTGTAGCCCAGGCTGGTCTCGATCCTCCTGCCTCAGCCTCCCGAGTGCTGGGATTACAGGTGTGCGCCACTGTGCCCGGCCTCTGCTTATGCCGCTTTTAGCAGTAGTTGTATCAAGAGACTTCCTTTCCTTGGCTGGCATGAGTTGTTTCTGCAGCGTTTCCCCAGTCTGAGCCACAGGCACTGAAGAAGGTGATTCTGACGGCCCAAGGCAGACGGTGAGAGACGGGGTTGGAGGGAGACACTGTCTTCTAACCTAGGTTCCTTGGCGGGAGCCAGCCAGAGTCTCCCCGTGGGTGCACCCGTGTCCTAAAGGGCCGGCATCTCCTCTCAGCACTGCTACGGTTTGAATACGATCTGTTTCCGGCTGAGGCTTGGCCCCTGATACAGCGATGCTGAGAGGTGTTTTGAGGCGTAGGAGGCCCCGTACGGAGGTGCGGAGGCAGCGCCCTTGACAGCCAGCGAGTCACGCAGACAG